CTTCACACAGCATGTAGTCAACCTGTGGAACTCCTTGCCTGAGGAGGTTGTGAAGGCTAGGACTATAACAGGGTTTAAAAGAGAACTAGATACATTCATGGCGGTTAGTCTATAAATGGCTATTAGCCAAGGGATAGAAATGGTATCCCTGGCCTCTGTCTGTCAGAGGTTGGAGAAGGATGGCAGGAGACAAATCGCTTGATCATTGTCTTCGGTCCATCCTCTCTGGGGCACGTGGTGTTGGCCACTGTTGGCAGACCGGCTACTGGGCTAGACGGACCTTTGGTCTGACCCAGTACAGCCACGTTTCATATCATTGACTCAGATTTAACTTATGGTCCACTGCGACCCATAGCTGCCTTTCTGCAGGACTCCTTCCTACGTAGTCATATCCCATTTTGTACGTGTGACTGATGGATTGTTCCTTCCTAATGGAGCTCTTTGCATTTGTCCTTATTAAACTTCATCCTATTTACCTCCGACCATTTCTCCAGTTTGTCCAGATCATGTTGAATTTTGACCTGATCCTCCAAAGCACTCGCAACCCCTCCCAGCTTGGTATCCTCTGCAAACTTCATAAGCGAATTCTCTATGCCGATATCTAAATCGCTGATGAAGATATTGAACAGAGCTGGTCCCAGAACTGTCCCCTGCGGAACCCCACTTGTTCTGCCCTTCTAGCATGGCTGTGAACTACTGACAACTGCTCTCTGGGAACGGTTATCCAGACCGTTATGCGCCCACCTTACCGTTAAGCTCCCTCTGGGTTGTACTTCCCTACTTTAATGAGAATGTTTCCTCTTATCGCTTCCACCCATGTGCGGAATAAATGTTCCTATGTGCACTGAGTCATATGCACCACCTGTGGAAACAAAAAGCCTAGCTGGGGGCGCACTGCTGCTCAGCTGGGCAGTGCTCGAATCTCTCCTGAGTGGCCACCCAAGCACCCGGCTTATAGGGCCCTCTGGAGGAGTCCCTAGCTCCCCCGTGAAGAAGAGTGGACCTGCCCCCGGAACAGGCGCTATGTCTCCAAATGCCTAGACAGCCACGGGCTGCTCACCGTGGCTCTGATGTCCGACTACACGTGCTCTGTCATGCCCAGACCCTTCCCAGCCGACTGAAGGAGGGGGGATGCCTTTACTAATGGAGTCTGGGCTCCAGACCAGCAAATGCTCAGTCAGATAAAGCCTTGTTCACACGGGCTCGTGGGCACCAAGAGAGCTGCCCCGGGGCAGATCCCTCCTGGGGTCGTGCTGCAAAAAGCAACCCGCCCCAAAGCAGGCTGGCTGGGCGTCCCGGGTGTGCCTGCACCCCCATGTTCACACTTGCCTGCCAAGGGCTTGGCCGGCCCCACGGCCCCCAGCCACAATAGCAAGCCGGCCTAAGAAGTAGGGTACCCAGGTTGCTTCAGAAAAAATACCGGACGCACTTGATCGGGGGTGGGGGGGATTGGCCAGCAGGGAGCAGGACTGATCCGGGCGCGTGCAGATCCCAGGGCGCTGCCCGTTCCGCACACGGTCCCGGCGCAGCACGAGGAGTCCGGCTGCGGCTCCACCATGCGCG